CAAGTGATTTTGTCATTTGTGTAATTGCTTCTCCAATTCGTAATTCTGATCGATAGATATATTCTTTGTTTTCTAATTCACCCCATTCTTTTCCTATAAATTTTACAAAATAATATTCTCCAATATACATGAGACTTTTATCATTTTTCATTTTATATAATTCTCCCATTTTCAAATAACATTCTGAAACTTTATTCATTTCTTCTTTATATTTATAATATTCAATTAATATTTCATTCATTTTTATACTATAATCATACATCTTTCCTTTTGTAAAATATTCAATACTTTTATTTATACTTCTTTCAATTCCATTTTCATTAAATGGATATTCTCTATCATTTTCTTTAATTTTAATTTCTTTTTCTTCTATTTTTGTATAAAATGGTATTTTATTTATTTTAATTGTTTCTTCTTTTATTGGTTTAATACAATACCATATTATTTCAATTATTTTATTCATTCCAATTCCTGCTTCAATATAATTCCCACTTTTTTCTTGTGTTTGAACAACTTTATCAATCCATGTATAATATAATCTTGGATACTTTTGATATTTCTTTGAAATTTCAATATATTTTTCTTGAATAAGATTCATATCTGTTTTATATTTGTCCATTTTAATTAATTCATGTGAAACATTTAAAATTTCTTTAATTTGAAAGATAACTTTATTTATATCATTTTTAAATAAACTCTTTTCTTCTTTATTCTTTATTTCTGCTTCTAATGTTTCTTCTAACATTATACTTTCTTTTAATTGAAGTTCTGTAATTGCTGTAATTGAATAATATGTTGTATTTGAAAGTGTTTTATGATATTTATAATCTATTTCAAGTATTCTTTTATAATATTTATAACATTTCTCTCTAATTGTCTTTTCTTTATCATTCATCATTTTTATGATATTTCTAATTAAAGGAAATGAAAATATTTTTATTTTCAAATAATCTATATTTTCTCTTATTATTATTTTATCTATTCCATTAATGAGTTGATCTAAATATTCATTTCTCATTGGAATATAAAATAATAGATTTACCATTATATCAATATATTTTTCTTTTATTTCTTCTTTTTTATTTAATATATTAGTAACTTCTTGAATGATTATTTTTCCACTTTCAATATAAATTTCTTTAAGTGTTATTGTCATCTTCATTGCTCGTCCAACATTTCCTTCTGTTTCTATTATTTTATACTTTTCTTCTTCTTTCTTTTCATTTCTTCTTATAGATTTATATTCTTCATTCTTATTTATTTCTATTTTCTCTCTTTCTTCATATCTTATCCTTCCTTTTATTTCTTCTCTCTTTATCATTCTATCAATATCTATTTCTGTATTTCTAATTC